CCTTGACACTATCAAAATGCAGGTGTGCTTTGACATGAATTATACCACGAAATGTAAGTATAACCTAATTCTGATTTTGTGGCACCAATACATGTATGTAATGTATGCTAAGCTTGCTAGAGGTTGTTCAATTTTTTTTTAGGTTTATTTTGCTATACAACAGCTGTCCAGTCGTCTACAAATGCCAATGACCAATTATTAGCATTCATCTAGTGTCATCTGCTTATCTGGGTTCGGGTTGCAGGGGCAGCAGTCTTAGCAGAGAAGCTCAGCCCTAACTCTCACCAGCTACTTGTTCAAGTTTATCCAGGTGACATAATCTTTTCAGCGTATCATTGGTCTACCCATGGTCTCCTCCTAGTGGGACATGCCTGGAACACCTCTCCGAGGAGGCATCCTAGCCAGATACCTGACCCACCTCAGCTGGCTAGTTTCGTTGTGGAGGAGTAGTAACTCTACTCTGAGGCCCTCTCAAATGACTTAACTCCTGTTTCTAAGGGAAAGGCCAGCCACCCTTTGAAGAAAGCTTATTCCTGTCGCTTGTATCTGCAATCTCATTCTTTTAGGCCCTACCCAGAGCTTGTAACCATAGTGATGAGACTGTAGATTGACAGGTAAATCAACAGCTTTGCTTTTACAGACCAATCTTTTTCAGCAGTAGGTTTTCAGTACGTATGCAAGGGGAGGACGTAATGCTTTCCATGTCTTCATGTGCAGCTGCTTTGTAACAAATAAATGGCATACCTAGTGCTGCAATCAATATAATCATCACATTGTTGCAGTCTTGTCCTATTTGTAGCAAAAGTGTTGCTTTTTGCCATTATATATTTTTCGTTCTTTACAGATCAAAGTAGGCTATGCTAAGTTGGTTCATTTTTGTGTCAACCAACGAGTCCAATAAATTGATAACCACTGTTGTATTTCTCATTATCTCCAACTTGGGTTTTATGTTTAGATGAGCTGTCTAATGCATAGAAAGCCTGGGTATGTTAAACTGCAGTTCAGCATAGCCATGCTGAACTTGTTTAACAGAGGCACTAGAGGTCATAAACCCCGATCTTAAATGCTAAATTTCCAGACTAGTTAAAACATGTGTTGGTCAGCTTAGAAGCTGATTATCTGAAGCTGTCATATGTGGGTTTATTTAGTCATGTTTGTGCTATTGCAGTGCTCTATTTGAGTCACATACAGACTTCAGACCGCAAAACCTTGCCACAATGACTTTTGGTGATGACCTTGTGTTTGTGTAGGTGAGTTTCTTGAGGATATCCACCAGTCAGAAGAGTCCAAGCTGAGTCCACTGTGCAGAGAGATCACTGACAACAGGGTGAAATCAAGGAAGGAATTAGATGGCCTTTACCAGAAAATCACCGCTTATATCCTGCTGCGCTCTGCTATGGGTTCGCCTACAGATACCAACACTATGAAAGAGGCTACAGGTCTCATACTACTTTTCATTGTTCCAACTACAATGTCATGTCTGCATACTGAAAATGTAATGCCACGGTACACCAAAGGCTGCGCTACTAATTCTAACCCCAGATCATCCAGACAGCACTTTCTGCTATTCTCAGTGATTCTCCAACATATGTCTTGTGAGCTGAGTATGAACTTCAAAACATTTCTGATGAACCACAAGTCGGTTCATATTATGTAACAACAGACTTCCAGTTAGAAAGATCAGGTTCTGAAAGGGAGCAAATTGTCAGCAGTTTTCTGAATGGAATCTCTTCTATTCACAAAATGAATGAACAATTTTACATAATTTAGTGCAGAGGTTCCCAAAGTGTGGGGCCCGCCCCCTG